GAGCTTGTTAATGCACTTTGCTCAAATACAGCACATGGGTCATGTAGGAGAAGACCATGCTGTGCATATGGCATCCCAGAAGTGAAGGTTAAAAAGCAATGATTTAACATAAAATGGACAATAGCAATGCGATGTGGATCCAACTGAACACACCACTTAGGAATCCAGGGAGTGTGCTAGCTCTAGCACATATGAGCATTTCTGATTCACTAACCAACCCAGCGACATCCCCTCCCTGTGTTGTTCTTCATGATGGACCAGGTAATCAGGGTTGCTGCAGGAGAAACAACTACATGTAATATAACCCAATGGTTTGATCTCTAGGTTGCTTCTTGACATCCAAGAAGCCTGGGTCCACATAACAAACGATGGAAGGATGATGTACCCCTGGTCTTCTTAGTGCACTGGAAGTGCACAAACAGTTAGAGCCAGCATGCTTTTTCACTCTAGTTTGCTCCCTAACTGTGAATTTGTTTTGTTGTATGAACAGGACATAGATTACTCTTTATTTACTTAAATATATTATTGTATATTTTACCATTGTTATTGAAAACAGTGCAGTTATGACTAGAAGCCAACATGGATTTCTCAAGAACAAATTATGCCAGATTAATCTGATTCCTTTTTTTTTTTTTTTTTTTAGTTGGGTAACCTCCCTGATGGTAATGCTGTGGACATAGTATATCTTGATGTCAGCAAAGCTTTTGACAAAGTGCTCCATGATATCCTAATTAGCAAACTAGCTAAAAGTGGACTAGATGGCACAATGATCAGGTAGATCCACAGTTGGGTACAGAATCAGACTTAAAGACCGTTCATCAATGGCACCTTCTAACAAGTGGAGTATTGCAGGGTTAAGTCCTGGGCCCATCGCTGTTCAACATTTATATGAATAATTTGGATGAGGAAGTGCTGGGAACCATTATCAGATTTTCAGATGTCACAAAACTGGGTGGGATAGCTAATACCCTGAAAGACAGAAACAAGATTCAAGGTGATCCTGATAGGTTGGAGCACTGAGCTGAAAACAGCCGAATGAAATTTGGTAGGGATAAATGTCAAATTCTGCACTTATGCAAAAGTAACTAAATGCATTATTACAAGATGGGGAATACATGACTCCACAATACTGCAAATGAGAAGGCTCTTGGCACTGTTCACGGATCACGGATCCCAAGCTGAGTATGAGTCAACAATGTGATGTGGCAACAAAAAGGGCAAGTGCTATTCTGGACTGCATTAATAGAAGTATCACTTCCAAACCATGTGACATACCAGTTGCCCTTTACTCAGCACTGGTTGGGCCTCATCTGGAGTGCTGTGTCCAGTTCTGGGCACCAGAATTTAAGAAAGATGCAGACAAGCTGGAAAGGATTCAAAGGAGGGCAACGAGGATGATCCCAGGACTGGAAACAAAGCCCTTTGAGGAAAGATTGAAAGAAGTGGGCATGGTTAGCCTTGAGAAAAGAAGACTGAGGGGCAATAGGATGGCACTCTACTTGAAAGTACTTGAAAGGTTGTCACAAAGAGGAAGGATGGGATCTCTTCTCAATCATCCCAGAGTGCAGAATGTGGAATAATGGGCTCAAGGTACAGGAAGCCAAATTCCAGCTTGATGTCAGGGAGAACTTCCTAATTATTGGAGCAGTATGAGAATGAAACCAATGACCTCAGGAAGTTTTGGGCTCTCCTACACTAGAGGCATTCCAGGCAGCCATCTGAGAGGAATGGTTTAACTTGGAGTCCTGTACTGAGCAGGGGGTTATACTCTCTGTTCCTTCTCAACTCTATTATTCTATTATTCTATGATTACTGTCTTCATTATTAGTGTATGGGAGAGCCAGTGTGGCGTAGTGGTTAAGAGCACAGGACTGGGACTCAAACCATGTGGGCTCTAGTCCCCACTCAGTCATAGAGCCAACAGGGTAACTTTGGGCTAGTTTCAAACACTCAGCCCAACCTGCCTCACAGGGTTCTTGTAGTGGGGATAATATTGAGAGCAAGAGAAGGAGAATTATGTACGCTGCTTCGAGTTCTTTGTAAGAAAAAGGCAGGATAGAAATCTAATAAATACATATGTAAATAAATTGTATTTATATACACTGTCTGAGCAGGGTACAACTGATGATAAAATACAAAATAAAATACAAAAGGGAGTGAAAGAAATCCAAACATTTCACTAAAGATTTCAAGCCAAATTTTAAAAACTTGATTAATGATTAAGACAAGTCAAAACTGACAAGCCCCTCCCCCTGATACATGCACACGCGTGCACACACACACACACACAGGTGCTGTTTGGAGTTATTCCACATCTTTCAGTTCAGAAGGCAGTGGAAGTGGCACCTGAAGGAGTGTCTCAGATGTTTGGGTGTGTGGTGACTGGAAGAAACATTCCATCAAGTATTTAGGCTCCATGTTATGTAAGACTTGATAGGCTAAGACCAGGAACTTGGGAGCATATAGACAACCAATGGAAGTGAGCCAGGGTTTGTGTTGAGTGTTTTTTGCTTATCAGCTTTTGTTAGTGTTTGTGTATTTAATGTATGGCCCAAGACTATTTTTTTTCTTCCACTGAGGCCCAGAGAAGCCAAAAGGTTGGACATCCCTGATATAGAGTGACCAAAGCTGTTTCTGTGCCAAAACCCAGCCTGAACTTCAAGTGAAATGGATTTAGATAATCAGTCTTCTCCAAGAGTGGCTGCAGCTGATGGCAACCACTCAAGGACTTTGTATGGAAGGAAACATTCAATAAAGTTATTGGGATCTTCCAGGGTTTTTTCAGGAGTAGCCTCATCGCCTCTTGTTTAAGGCAGCATGCGACTACTCACTTTCTGAAAGAAGCATTGATCATCCTGGCTGTTCCCTCCCTGCTAGCTTATATATCCCAAAAGGGGCAAGGATCTAGTACAGTTGTGGTTGCATGAACCTGTCCAAGCACCTTGTCAAAATCCTCAAGCTGTACTAACTGAAACTCATCCAAGAAACTGCACCAGGTTGCACAGTGGATATCTTGCCTGATTCAGTAACATGGCCTGATGCACTAACACTAGAGTCTAAATCCAAGCAGATGCAAGAGATTTTATCCTGGAAGTGCCGAGCAAATATACTACAGCAGACCTCAAATGCCTCCAAGATATATTTTGGGGCTAACCTATAACACAGAGGTGGCCAGAATTGCTCAATGGAAGAGCTACATACAGTAAATACCAGATGTATGGCAGCCGCAATTGGGTGCCCAGGGGTAGCAGAGAGTGGCAAATGGCAAGTGGGTGCCTGTGGGAATCCATAGTGGTGAATAGTGAATCACAAAATAAATAAGCACATGTGGCTTCCAACCCTTGGTTTGGCCACCCCGGTAGATCCCTGATGACCCTGAGTTGTTCCACTGGGCGGCAGCAGCAGATTGAATAGAGGTGGTAAGGTGTTGTTGTTGCCCTGACTGTTCCTAAATATACCTGACCACAACTACTTACCAGACCTTGATTGCATCTACTAGAGGTTTTTCACCAACTGTACTCAAGCCATCTTTGGTATTGATTCATTATTCTCAGCTCCAGGGTGCATCATGGAACTGTATGAGCTGTCCCAGCGAGAGTGTTTAAGAGTGGTTCTGTCAGCCACCTGGGTCATCCCTATATTCCAGAGACTGATCAACTATTCAGCAAGATCACCAGCCATATCAGCCAGAAAGCCCCTCCCCCCAAGTCCTTTGGAAACAATCTAGATCCATCAGCCTCCAGGGGTGGACCATTTTAATTGGTCCCTTATCCTTTTACTCATAAAGAATAGAAGTCACCATTAGTCTAAATCTCAACAAGCAGTTATTTGACCATGACAAAGGGACTGATTCCAAGCCCCCTACCTTCAGCTCATCATCCTCATGCCCAGCTGCGGAAAACAAACACAAAAACAAAAACAGAACTGGAGTATGTCTTGCTACATGTGTTGGACCAATGACAATTTGGGATGGTTTCATGCTTGTCGTGAGTTTGTGAAATCCTAAGCTGCTTCACATAGGGTGTCCTTGGTGTAGAAGTTAATGTCCTCCAGGACCAACAGTTTGAGGGACCTCAGCCTTGCAACCTAGACCAGACCTTGGATAGGGGAGTGGTGGGCTATACACCAAGCAATTCCCTAATCTGTTCCACTGGCCCAACACAGGAAGCAAACACTCCAAACTGGTAGTCAGACAGATGGGGAGCAGAAAGAGAGGCAATTCCTATAGAACTGTATCCTCCCCAGCCCTCAGTGCTGAAGCAAGGACTCCAGTGGGTGACTAATTTCATCCACTCAAGTCTCTATAATGCATACTTGATCAGCCACCTAATGCACTATTAAACTGTGGAGGAGGAGGTCATACTTCGGGCTCATCTGCATTTAAAAACAGCATCTGATCACCTGAAAGCAGGTTAATAGGCCAATAACCAGACTTGTAAAAGCAAGGAGGACTGGAACATGGCACAGCACTGTGTTCCCCTTTCTTGTCTAGCCCCTCTCACAATGCCATATCTGCATCTACTTGTCAAATCCTACCCCACCCCCAGATTTTCCCATTTGGCTCCATGTCTTCCCTCCAAAGCACATATTGTGGCCCTAGGAAGGGGAAAAAGTAACCCCCTTCCAAGGGCTCTGAGGAAACCAATGTTAAGAGGGTGGGGCCTTGCTCTTGCATCTGTCCCCAAAGTAGCAACCTGCTCTGGCATTGCCCCCTTTGACTTGGCTGATGCCCCAGAAGTTGGAGAGTGAAAAAGTATGAGCCAGACAGCAGTGTAGGGCAGCTCTCGGTAAGTACATCTCACTCGCCAGTGGGGTGTTCTGACGTTCTCTTTCTGTGATGTAAAGTGAACCCAGCCAAGCCAATTCAGCAGTCTCAAAGTGAGAACTTCTACTTTCAATTTTGTTCTTGTCTTTATTTATCACATTGAAATTAAGTTTTCTTCATTTGCTCTGAGAGACTTTCGTACTCACAGAAAGAGGCAAACCTCCTACAAATCCAAATGGCTGAACCAACATACTATTTGCTTGCATATACAAGCAATACAACAGATTATTTGGATCTGGAGTCTAACTGGTGTGATATGACCGACACAGGCAAATTCAGTGCCACATTCACCAGCGTCCTGTACTCCATAATTTTTCTCCTCAGTCTGCTAGGAAATAGCCTTGTCTTGTGGATTGTGATCAGATATGAAAGCCTCTTGTCCTTAACAAACCTCTTCATCATGAATCTTTGCCTCACAGACTTGGCTTTTTCTTTCACGCTGCCTTTCTGGATTGTGTACAATTACTATGGATGGATTTTTGGCGGGTTTCTCTGCACGGCTGTGAATGCAATCTTTTCTATCAGCTACTATGGTGGTGTGATCTTTCTTACCATTATGACCATCCTCCGGCTCCTGGCTGTGATACATCCTTTGTCAACACTGAGGACTCAGATGAAGAGATGTGGTTTGTTGGTGAACATTGTTTCTTGGATCATTAGCATCGCAGTCGTGATTCCTGAAATGATGAATACCCAAATAATTCTTCACAGTGATGGCTTCAAGCAGTGTGAGTACAAAGACCATTCAGTCTGGAAGTTGGTGGAGCTGTGTCAGCAACTTGCTTTTTTTCTAGTTTCCTTCATTATCATCACAATTTGCTACACTGTGATGCTGAAGGTTCTGCTTAGATCAAGATCTCAGCGAAGACACAGGACTGTAAGGCTCATATTTGCCATTGTGGTAGTCTTTTTCCTGACCTGGGCACCTTTCAACATTCTTGGCTTTGTATACAATTTAGCCGAACAGCACTACATCACGGCAACTTGTCAACACAAAAAAAATATTTTCTTTGCTTATGACATCAGCCGCAAAATAGCCTACTGCCACTGCTGCCTCAATCCGGTGCTCTACGTCTTTGTTGGGGTGAAATTCAGAAGGCATCTGAAACTCTTGTGCAAGCACTACATTCTGTGCTGTAACAGGATGCCACCTGCCAGCCCTAGAAAGGTTTCTTTTCATGTGAGCCTAGATGAGGATGCATCTGTGTACTGAAGAGAAGACCACCAAACAGAATGAGAAACTGAATGGTGTGAACAAGCTAAAGAGGTAGAAATGCCCCCTTCACATTGCCCCAGAGGATTTAGCAGGAATGGTTAATTGGTAGGAAATTGAAAAAGTACCCATTTGAGGAAAAAAATGCTTTCTGCTCTGAATAATTCTGGTTATATGGGGACACCTAGCCATTTATGTACTAGATCTGAGTGTTTTTTTTTTTTTTTGTTTAAGAATCTTTGGTAAGCTGCTTTGAGAGGCACATAGGGAGATAAAATGGAATGTAAATGAACAAATTCTTTAAACATGAATTGATTATTGAGTAATAATATTTTCTGGGTGTTTGGGGGTAGGGGATACAGGAGATATAAAGTGAGCATAGACTTGTATGCATCTAGTTCAATGACTGGTTTGATGCAGGAAATTCAGAGCTGGAGCATTGCCAATAGACAGATGTCCAGTCTCTGAAGACATCTTCTGTTCAGCTAGGACAGAACTCATCAACCACCTAGGCAGCTGGATCTGTTGTCAGACTTCTCTTTTCATCAAGAAGGTGCGATCTGGAGTTCATCTGCTTTCCTAATGACAAAGGGCTGCTTCATACAATCAGCCCACCATGAGTTATTTATTTATTTAAGTCATGGTTGGCTATGGTGTGGGCAGGCAGTCATTTTTACCATTCCAGCTACTACCTCCACTTGTTGTGCTGCCTAAACCCAGTGGGGGTGGTTTGTGCAAGAGATAAACAACCTTTATATAATGCATGATTTGTTTTAGTGTCATGCAAGGATAAGCCCATAGCCACGTAACCAAAGGGTTCCTGAACCCCTAAATTTTATTTGCACCTCCCCACACTTTTTGTAAACAAATAAATGCATTATTGAAAATTTACAACAACTCAGAGAAGGCTGTGCTCTTCTTTAAAGTACATATGGTATTATCTTCCTGAATTTCTATGGTGGATTCTACCTGCATATTCTTAATAGTACTTGCAATCTGAGACTATACCTGTGATGAAGAAATATCTTGACTTGTGGAAAGGGCTGTCTATATTTTTTGAGAAGGAGTGGATTGCTCAGATTAGTAAGGACAGATTTTTTTTAAAACCCCTATCAGTTCCAGAAAGGACTGGACATGTGGATTCAATGATGGTTGTATATTTAGATGAAGAATTCTTTTTTCCACACTCAAACAGTACTTCTTTTCCATGTGAAAGAAATTGTCACCTAAAAATGGAAGCTATTGGATTGCTCTATCGGAACAGTAGTCTTTCTGTTCCATTTCTTACTGAAATTATACTAACATGCAAGGATATTGTAAATTTGTAATATCACTGTTGCAGCAGAAGAATTGGTTCATTTGAGACAGGACTGAAACATTGAGTGTGTTATGAGACAGCTGCAAGAAATACAAAATATGATTGTCAACCACATTTCTGAAGTAATGAACAAAGCATATGAACCTCTTGAAAATTATCCACGTTCAAACTATCTGGATAAACTCCCATGGGCTTCAGGAAAGTTGCTTTTAATAAAGTCAGAGAACTGGCAAATTCCATGTAAGCAAAGCCCAAGAAGAAAAAGAGTTCAAGAGCTGTGGGGATTAATTTTAAGTGTAAAAAGGATCTTGGAGTTGTAGTTGATCACAATCTGTTTTCATATAGGATCAATCATAAGTGACTTTGTAAATTAATAAAGTATTGCTCAAGGGTCTGAAATCCTGTAATTATTTAGTTAATTGAACAATATGCAAAATTTGACATGCTATTATTTCTGCAATGTGTGAAGTTACATATTTGACCAATATACTTGTCAACCATGTACATAAAAATACCTGAAATGTGTTTATATCTTGCATGCAAAAGCTAGGATAAATACAAGTCCAGCTATTTAGGTTCTGATGAAGTTTCCCTAATAAAAGTTTAAAGTTTATATTTAAAATTATAGAGATTCTTGCCTGTTCTCTGCTCTCCCACTGCCCCCCCCCCACCAAATCTGCAGGGTTTTTCCTTTCTGGCTCCTTCTCTGGGAAAAGGGAAAACAGGGAAGTTATGCAAATGATTCAGCTGTTGACAGAATGGAAATATCCTTGGAAGTTTGAATCCACAAAATGTATCCTTTACTAATCCTTTGAAATACACACACACATCTCTTGTTATCCTATTAGTGAAATGGAAACTGTTGCAAGCTGAGATCTGCCCTGTGCTTTCCTTTGCAATTTAAAATACCTAGCTAGCTCATCCTCTGTCTTGAAGGTAATTCCTACCTCTGACTGTAAAAAGCAAACTTTGAACCTGTTAAATTCTGTAACTCCTGGTTGTTTTATTTATCTGTTACTCAGGCCCTCTATGCATCATGTTTTTTTTAATGTCCGTAATGATTTCTCAGTGTTTCTGTATTTTCCTTGTGAGCTTCTGTATTGTCTTACATTATCACAACATTCAAAGTCTCATTCCCCTTCATCTCATGTGTATGTGTCTACAAGCCCATGAAACATTCTGTCCATGCTTTGTTCCCTGTAGCAGTCCCAGACTGTTGTAATTTAGGGATTTCTGTTGCTGTAAATAAACTGTTGAGTGCTTGATTGTACACTTCCACTGAATCTGCATATTCATTCCAAGGAGGTCTGAAATCCTGGCAGTTCACATAATTAAGTCAATGTGGCTTAAACCCAGTGAGAGTAGTTTATTGTCCTACTTAATAAATTATCCACAAATGTAAAACACCTATGAGTTTTGGGTTGTTTATTATTTTTTAATTTTTTAATTAAAATTTTAAACTAACGCTAAAAACATCAAACATCACATACATTGGATTTACTGGGTCAACCCCCTACTACATATTTTTTAAACATTCTAAAGTCAAATTCAAATCAATTTATAATAATTTGAAAACATCTCTAAGTTTACACCAAGTTCCATTTCTCCAGCCAGTTATAGAAAGAATCCCAAGTTCGATAGAAGTCAGTATCCTCTTTCTCCTTCAATGATAAAGTCAATCTATCCATTTCTGCACAGTCCAAGATCTTTCTTACAATCAATCCATCGGTGGGTAGCTCCTCACTTTTCCAATATTGAGCAAATGCAATCCTCGCCGCTGTGATTAGGTGCATCATCAGGTACATTTTCTGTCTGCTTGTTTATTAATCACACCAACAGTGAACTTTTTCCAAGTTTGGACAACATGTCAACCTACAAGTGGGGTTTGGGTTATAGAATAGCATGTGCCACAAACCATAGTAGCTTACTTAAGGCAACATGTTCTAAACAATCATGCAACCAAGGACATAAAGTTGACAAATCTGAAAGAGGGTTTCAGTAGAACACATGAGTTTCATGCAAAAATTCCCAGAATCAATCCTTGGCTTTTCTAGGTAGTTCTGGAAAAGTGACTGGAGAGTGACTGCCAGCCAATTTAGACCTTGACAAGGTTCATAATTATCACTGCAGTCCATCATGGCTCCTTATTAAGACCATCAAGACTTATTAGTAAGACCAACAAGTAAGACAACTCCAAGTCCCCAGCTATGGCTTCTTATTATGTAAGAACCCAGCATGGCTGACAAGCCACCCAGAAACTATAGATTGTTTCAGGGTTACAGGTGGCTTGTCAACCATTCCAAAATTGCACCCTTATCAGGGAAATAAGAGGGGTGGCTAACAGGAAGAGGGCCTTTTCTGCTACTGCTCCCCATATTTGGAATGCTCTCTCTAAGGAGATTCACCTGGTGTCCTGTGTTTTCCTTTCAGTGCCAGGCAAAGACTTATCTTTCTAAAAGATATTTTAATACCTCATTCCCCCTATAGATGTCACTATGGACTGCTGGGTTTATTAATTAATTGGAATTTTATATTAGTATTAGATTAATTGAACTTTCATTATTTAAAATTTTATTGTTGAGTTTTAACATTGTGTTTTCAGAATGCGCTATTTTAACAGTGTGAATCACAGGTAGAGTAGGCAGCATATAAATATTTTAAAGAAATATTTATTTAAGTGACTTCTCATTATGTTTGAACCAAGCCAGTGCTGAGATAGATAGGTCAACAGTCAGACATCATGGCCAGGTTTGCATGTAGGAGATGTGCAAGGATGGCCAAAAATAAATGAAAAATAATTATTGCAATCAGTTATAGGTATTATGGCAGCCAAAGACATAATTAAAAACAAATACTTGAGAGCCAGTGTGGTGTAGTGGATAAGAGCATGGGACTGGGACTCAGACGATCTGGGTTCTACTCCCCGCTCAGCCATGGAGCCAGCTGGGTGTCTTTGGGCCAGTCACAGACTCTTAGTCCAACCTACCTCACAAGGTTGTTGTGGGGATAAGATGGAGGAGGAGATGTAAGCTGCCTTGAGCCCTTTGTAGGAAAAAGGCAGGATATAAATCAAATAAATAAATAAATAAAATAAGTACTTGGCAACCACAAGCAATCCCTCTAGGTCACCTTGGAGAGACTGCTTGTGACTGTCAAAAGTGAAAGCTGGTTTGACAGTTGGATTTTGTGGTCTGATTTTTTTTCTTTTCTGAATAACAAAAAAACCACAGAGAAACTAAAATGGCTTGTCCTACCCCTTGTATTATTCCCATATTATGCCTAGGATTCCCATGAGAGGACCCAAAGGGGACTCACTATCCACAAGATGCCCAATCTTCTATCAAGTGCCTCAGGAGTAAGTTAACTCATAGCATCCCATTAATATGACCACTCTTTCCTTTCCTTTCTCTTAAAATCACCCAAAAAGCAGAGGGAACTTTGATAGCCAGCACTAAAATCCATATTTGCATGATAGCTTTACTGAGCTTTACTCTTCTTGTGCTTGTCCCTATTTACTATTCTTGCGCTTGATTACGTCTGCCAGATAGAGCTCCTCAATCACACTTGTCATTACTCAGAATATCTCACAAGTGGTGGATTTGATGACATATGCAGTCCTAAAACACCTGGAAGATCACACATTTCCCATTCTTGTCATGAGCTGAGTGAGTTTACAGTACAGCTAAGTGTGCTCCTCTCTGTGGCCCTATTTTAGCCATTCTGTTGGCATATTTTCCAGCATAGCAGAAGCACCAGTAGAACATATCCTTGTGCTGGCACATTCATCATGAGGGAG